TATGCCACTAGATCAGAGTGCTGTCAATTGCTGTTTGATTGTTGCATTTAAAGTTTGCATCTGGAGCGCTCAACAACGCCATTAGATCAGTGGGCTCTGTTGGTGCTTTGGCAAGGTAACACTTTTTTTTGCCATGCAATAAAGCTAAGTTCAAAGGCCAGTTTAAAATATTGGTACAATAAATAAAGTGCACAAAGTCAGTATTTTGTTTAGGCAGTATTTGTGGCACTTGATAAATCATGTTGCGAGATTTGTCCAAAAGGTGTGTTTTTTGCGCCAATGCATCGTTAAATGATCAGCTTGTCAAGTCAAGTCACCTTTATTTATATAGCGCTTTTAACAATACAGATTGTGTCAAAGCAACTGAATCAGTGGTGACTGTCAGTTAATGCACATATGGCAGAAATGTATGGAAAAATCAATTTCAGACGTAATCAAACAGATGATGAACACTATTAACAGCAATTATGATGCTATCAAACTTATAGCAAAATGTGGTAGTTCTGTAAGTTGTTTCAGGGTTGGCATCATCTGAGGTCATGTAATATTCCCATATAAACTTTAACATCCAATTAAAAAATATTTGTAACAAGCAGGTGTCTGAAAAGAATATACATATATGCATATATATAAATATATACATAGGCCTATACTATATATATATATATATATATAAAATTGGGGGGGCAATAGAGATTTCAAATTGGCTAGAAACGGCCCTGATGGCCAGCCTAATGAACTCTTTCCTCTTCCTTCTCATTCTTTTTTCCATTACCTCTTCTCTTACAAATTTCTAATTCTCCTCTAAACCCAGTTGCTTCTCTTTTCCAGACTTTTCTTAGAAAAGCTGAGGTCAACAAAACTTTCATGCTAAAACACTAATAGTGTAATAGTGGCTTTTCTTTCAAAAAAGTGCTGGGCAATAGTTTACTGTGCCAACCCAGCCCTGCCGTTTCACCTATGCATTATTCACTTCCCAAACCACCACCAGAATACCTTTGGCAATGTTATGAATGCATAGAGTTTGAACTACCATGCATGCATGCATTGATTTATATGTTAACAGCTGCTTTTGTGTAGCAGCATTTACAAATAGCTGTCATTAAGAATACTTGTGCCTCTGAAAACAGATGTGTTGTAGTTTATGTCAAATTTTTAGGTTTCCAAACATAGTTATGAATGGATATGGATGACTTTTTGTGGCCCCATTTTGTTTGACCTTGCTGCAGCAGCAAGGTCCTTCGTCATCGACTGCCCTCGGACAGTCATTTCAGTGGCTCAATAGGTAGCTAAAGCTAGCTATCATTAGAACACTTTTTGTGTTTTTGTGTTTGCACACCCGGCAAACACAAAACTTTTCACAACATTGTATTTTGGATGCAATTATCACATTTTTTAAAACTAAACTAAACAAAACCAGACTGAACTGCTACTTTTGTGCCAACAAAACATATTTTTTTATGTTTTAGTTGTATTTCAGGGCAGTTCATGAAGACAAAGAAACGTGAGAGGTGCTGTGACAACCTGAACAGAAGTCCACCAACCAGAACCTTGTCTCTGCCTGTATATGGATGGCTAATAATGTCTAAAAGCAATTTATGTGTTCTCTTCAGAATTAGGTCTATGCAGATATTACTCAGGGACAAGAACACTTGAATGTTACAAGAATAGAGTATGTACCATAATGAATGTAAATTGCACTTAAATTAAAAATAAAAATGAATTCAACGTTTTTCACAATGTGTCAAAAGCCAGTTCAAACTCCAACAGGGTGAAAACATTGGCCTTATAACACTATAAGGTTATAACATAACTGTTTTGGAGCTTGTTTTATGGTTTTGAGTTTCATTATACTTGTTTTTAATTTGCTATTAAACATTTATTTAAGACTACACCAGTGCATAATTTTCCAACATTTGTTGTAGCCTATAACTTCGAATATCCCACAAATTTCTGTTTATCCAAACATGTTTGTTTTTTTTATCAATGAAAGTGAATGGTGACAAAGGTTAACGTTTACCTTTTGTGTTAAATTAAAGAAAGGCACATAGGTTTTGAACATCATGAGTGTGAGTAAATTATTTTTTCTTTTCTTTCCTTTTTCCTTTTGAACTACAGCATTATATCCCTTTTACACCCTTTTTTTGTATAGCCTAATAAATAGGCCCAACCATTAGTTACAAAATATGTGTGTCGTATAAATTATTTCATTGAGAAATAATTTATAATAATAATTAATTCTGTGCCCGGAATATTTCAGTAGGGAATGAAAATAATCCAAGGCACGGTGTAAGACAATGAGTGGACAAGGACAAAAAAGAAAGCATAGCCTAATAGAAACAACATGCGGATTCCTGCGTACCGTCCCAAACCCCGGGGGTTTCATAAAAATATTAGGATACTACAAAAACCCCATAGGCCATATATTAGCTATTTAAATGTAATAAAACAACAAAGCATGTATAGCTATTTTATTACAGACGAACATGTTAAAGAGTCAATTTACTCACCTTTTCCTTTTTCTATCCTTCCAGAAAGTCACTGGACTATTCTCTCTCTGTCGTAAGATAAAACCTTTTGGTTTTCATGAAACCACTTCTTCTTTCGACTCGACTGAAGATATTATGACTCACAGCGCACTTACCAAATTCCTACCGAATTCGTTGTAATTTCTTCTGGGAATTACACCCATTGAGGTTTACAGGAATCATTGAGTCAGATGTGGATTAGGAGTAAAACGTCTCGGGTTACTTATGTAACCATGGTTCCCTGAGTAGGGAACGAGACACTGCATCCTCTAGGGGTCGCTATGGGGGACGCCTCGTCGTGACCCGTGTCTGAAGCATACATTGAAAAAACACCAACTCGTTGGCCGGCGACAGCCATGATGTCACTACCGGTGCGACTAGAGTATAAATCGGTGCCGGGAGCTACACATCATTCACTTCTTCGTCTGAAGCTTGCGTCCGCAGCATGGCAAGAAACCTAGAGGATACCACAGAAATGCACGCTTCAAACAAAAGTCAATGAAGACGAAGAAGAGAATGATGTGTAGCTCCCGGCGCCGATTTATACTCTAGTCGCACCGGTAGTGACGTCATGGCTGTCGCCGGCCAACGAGTTGGTGTTTTTTCAATGTATGCTTCAGACACGGGTCACGACGAGGCGTCCCCCATAGCGACCCCTAGAGGACGCAGTTCGAAGTTCCCATGAAAAGGAACTGTACAAATAGGCCTACAGCAAATAAACAATAATCTGAATAGTTATCCAACAACTAAAGAATATGCATACAAGTAATTCTGAAACTTATATCTGAAAAGGCATCAAATGTAATCAATTTACTTAAATGAGATTATCAGATAACCAAAAATGGCAACAAATACAAATATTGACTGGTATAGAGAAGTTATCTTATCAAAGTAGAATGAAATCAACACATTTAGCACATTTTCAAAGAAAGGCTACATTATGTAATGAAGAATTAACTTACAGATGATGCTTTTACAAATACAAAACAAAGGATGGCATCCAAAGACAGAGATCCAATGAGAAATGTGATCTACACTGAACTCAGAACTGCCACTAGTTTGGCTCCAAAACTATAGAAGTGACCAACTTGGAGCAGAACAGTCAATATGAAGGGTCTAAAATGCATAGCTTCAGTTGAGTGATAAAGTTTACTCTCTTTAACTTAATGCTGTTGAATGTACGAAGCAAACTATTTGCTAAAATAACCACAACAACATCAAAAACACTGAAATATCTGTCAATTGGTTTATCTGTCAATCAGAATTGTGTTGAAATTTTTTACTATAACAAACTGATTGAATCCTGATTGGCCGGTACAAAGAAACATAGAATACATAAAAGCTATTTAAAATGACCATAAGTTAAAGACCCACTTGTCATGTAGAGGTATATTATAAATTGTCTGGTAATAAATATATTAAAGTGATCATATGATGCGATTGAAATTTTTCCTTTCTCTTTGGAGTGTTACAAGCGCTTGGTGCATAAAGAAGATCTGTAAAGTTGCAAAAACGAAAGTCTCAAAGCTAAAGAGATATTCTTTATAAAAGTTAAGAGTCAGCCACGCCTACCTAAAACGGCTCGTTCTAACACGCCCCCACATATCTATGTCACGATGTGGGAAGATTTGCATAACGCCACCCAAATGTTCACGCAAAGAAAGAAGGCGTAACTTTTATTCTCACTGTAGTATTGTTGCTGCCGCCGCCATGTCTTAAAGGTGCTGTGTTTCATTGTGAAGGCAAAACTACTTTGTTTGGTCTTCCAAAAGAGGACACGACTAGAAATCAATGGTTAAGCTGTATCTACAACACTGTTCCAGAACAGTTCAACCCAAATATTCAGATGTGTGCAGCGCATTTTATGGAGGACTGTTTCCTGATCCTGGGAGAGTAGACTACAATGCCGGCTGTTCTGACTCACAGACTGTAAGTACGTTTTTTATATTTAAAGGATTTGTCACTGACGATTCAAACGCGAGTTTTGAGCAGTGTAGAGTAGCGCTTGTTGTTTGTCATTGCTCCGATCACAAATGCAGACATGGTTATATGTTTATGCGGCGCGATGCAAAGTAACGCGTAAAAAGACAGTATAAGTCATTATAATCCATAATTATGTCCCCACTGGATGCAACAAATGCCTCGTTTATAATGGGTTTTATTGGTTTTGTCTCGTCGCGCCGGCCGGGACACGGCATCACAATATATTAAGGGGCGTAACATTTCCGTCTCACGCTTGAGGTATTCGGCCAATCACAACGCACTGGATAGCTGGCCAATCACAGCACACCTCGCTTTTTCAGACCGATGAGCTTTGTAAAAATTGACGCGTTTCAGAAAGGCGGGGCATAGAGGAGAAACAATAATGTACAGTATGTGGAAAAGAATGTGTTTTTTGAACCTTAAACCGCATAAACACATTTCATTACACCAAATACACAAAATAATGTTCTTTTTAGCAGCATCATATGACCCCTTTAAGAATAATTAAATTCATTTTCACTCAAATTCACAGTGAAAACATTAGAGAGAAAAGACAATGAACAGTGCAGTTTTTTCTTCTTCTTTTTTTTCTGTTTGGTTAAGATTAGTTGTTTAAGTGCATGATATTCTGGTAGTCGATGGAAGCATTATATATGATTGTTATAAAAGTATCAACATCATTGCTGGGTAAGTTACTCTAATTAGTAAAAAGTACTAACTACTAATTACATTTTCAACAGTGTATAATTAGATTATTGTACTAATCATTTAAACTATAATGAACAATGTAGTGAACATAAGCATTTTAATATATTAATTTGATTGATTGAAGATGACTGCTACAATACAATACATACATCAGACATCATAAATGAAGTTAAGGTTTTACCTGTCTCTGAAACGGTTTTAAATCAGAGAAGTCCAAGCAGTTTGAGCTGGTTTCGAGAAACTGCTGTAGCTTTCCAGATGTGTCGGCTACCATGTGCATCAATTACAGCAGTGCAAAATGTACTGGTCAATTACAAGTACAACACATCGTTCCTAAGCATATTTATAGAACCACAGCCACAGGAAGCATGCTTTGCACTGGATTGCCATTTTACTCTGTAGTGACATCTGTATTGATCTGCACTGATCAATAACCTGTGCAACTATGCCTCTTTCCAACCAAAAGACACACTGATTTACAAGGCGTAGCTTTTGAAAAGGTACTTCATATTCTTTCATGAGAAGGCCAAAGACATTACAGACAAGATCAGGTCATTGTGGACTCAAGAACTCATTCTCCGGACAGAGATCGAAGGATGTGTGCGATCTTTTATTCTTCACAACTCGTAAGGCTGGGAAGCGGTTCACCAGCATCTCACAAACCGCGAAATGCTTCTGTTCCGCAGCCTGTGTGCACATACAATCACAAACACACTCAGAAACTAGCATCAAGTAGTCTGCAACTTAAAACCAACATACCAAGCTCTACCTAAAAAAAGCACTTTTATTAAGAATGCATCAGGGTGACTAGTTGTACCTTATGAAGTGCTGTAGATCCATCATCATCAGTCAGACATGGATCAGCCCCACGGTCTAACAGTAACTTGAGCACACTGTGGTGTCCGCAGTAAGCCGCCCTATGAAGCGGGGTTGCCCCACCACGGGTCTGGATGTTCACACAAGCGCCACAGTCCAGGAGTAACTCACACACTGACAGCTGACCTGCTCGACTAGCATAATGCTGCTCCAAAAAAAAAGTAGCACCTGTGAATGGGTTATGCATTATGAAATTATTGTAATTAATAATGTTTGCATTAATGGTAATGAACAAACCAAAGCAGTGTAGTTTGCCTGGTCCCTCATATTAGGATCAATCCCTTTTTTGATAAATGCCCTGACTCTCTCCACATCTCCATCCATTGCAGCTGACCATACACCTACAAACAAGCAATTCACATCTTTCTGATATACCAGTATGGGGTGATATGGTGATATATATGAACATGCAAGCAGTAAAGTACCTCTCTCAAAGTCCATCTCCTCTAGAGTCTGATAGACGCTTGCTGTTGAGCGGTGGGCACTACAGGGGCACTGATTTCCATGGGAACCCATCCTGCGTTTATTTGGTATGAACTGTATTAAGCATCACAGATACGTCCAACATACTTCATGTGTGTTAGTGACAATGCGTTCAGCTGTTAGTCACATTTAGCTGCCTGATAAAAGGTAGCAAGCAAATATGCCAGGTTATAATAAGACGAACATTTGACACGTTTGCGTTTTGTTTAAGGAGTTCAAATTCTGATGAACGAACATCTGTTTCTGTGTATATAAAGCTGTCATTACCTGCACATGGGTTGGGAAAGAGCGGCTGTGAAGACAAGCAACTTCTGCGCACAACAAACGGACGGCCTTTCAAAATAAAAGTCACGCGGAAGTGACAAACCTCCGGATTTTGGGTGCTCTGGTCCTGGTTTTTATTTTTATTTTTTGGTCCAGTTTTAGTAAAAAAGTTAATGTTTTGTGAGCACATATGGGTGGCCGTTTGGGTGCACATATTATTTTGACAGACAGAAATAGAGAGAGGCAGACAGACAGAAAACCTGAATAAAATGTTTCCTGTTCACTAAATAATACGAAACCTAACAAGATCTCAAGGGAATATTCTGTGATGGATATCTTAAGCTCTGTAGCATATATGCCATGCCGTTGATCAATTTACCACAGAAAATGTAGTTCATTTAACTTAGTGTGTAGTGTAGTGTGTGTGTGTGGGGGCGTGTGGGTGTGTCTGTGTGGGTGTGTGTCTCAGGTCGGGTTTATTACTTCAATCCCATCACGAATGCGAGTCAGTGGGAGCGGCCGAGCGGAGCGGGGCCCGACGGCGTCAGCGAGGTGGAGAAAGTGCGCTGCTCTCACCTGCTGGTCAAACACAACCAGTCGCGCCGGCCGTCCTCCTGGAGGG